AGTATGGATTAAGATTGAGACAAAGACAAAGACAAAGTTGAAAAATGTAGACTCATTGTTTCAAAAACAGACTATTCAAGACTTAGATCTTACATCTCATGGGCTATGATGATCGTGTCTTAAAACATAGATTGTATTTGGTCAATTTTCTTTCTCAGAACAAATTAGAAAGAGAAAATGAGGAATCTTTAGAAGCACTTAACAGAAAGTAAGTATCATAATCATTTAATATTGTTTTCTCTCCCATGTACTTTAAATTAGCTGTTAAGGTGGGGAGTCTCATTTAGTTTTCTTGTGATTAATTTAGAGAGGGCCAACATTAATAATGCTGAGAAAATACTGTTGGATCTCCCAGGTCCCCATTTATATTGCTATTGATGTAATGTTTCTTCATTTTATTACTGTTCTGGCTTAGATTACTTCAAGCTGAAGAGGAAATAGAAAATCTTAAAAAAGTGGAGCCTTTGTTGAGAAAAGAGCTTGACACATGTCAAGAGGTCAGTCCCATTGTGTTAGATTAGGATGAGGCATCACACTGTTACATGTACTTACAATGTAGCATGAGGCATTGTAAGTTAGTGTGATGCTCTGTACATTAGTGTGAGGTGCTGTATGTTACTGTGTGATGCCTCACCAGCTTGGCTAACTCAATAAAGGTAAAGTGGTTACTTTGATTCTTGAGATTAACAATCATACTGCATTGGCTTGTTAAGCTATTGGATCTTGTGAAGCATCAGATAACCAGGCTACTTAGATAAAAAATACGGTTAAAAAAATTTAATCTCCAGAACAAACTAGAACACAGTGGAATCCCTACTTTTCAAGCCCCATAAGGGAAACATCTGAGAAATAGAAAAGTTAAAAAAATATAGGCTAAATTTCTCCTGACTTCTTTTGCTAAGGGAGCAAAATATTGTTGTGAGTAATCAGATTTAAACCTTTGGGACTCAACTGTAAGCTTGTCTACTTTATGGACCATTAGTAGCACACACCACATGTACACACAGCTTGCCATTAATGTCTGTGGCATAAAACATCAATTAGAAGAAAAGAACTTAGAAACTACATGCAGTTTTGATTCCTCTTTGGCAGCCATACATTGTAGTTGTAAAGAACAATGTGCTAACAAATAAAGCATGTTTTATTGCTTATTTTACAGGAGAAAAGAAGGCTTGTCAAACAAGTTGATAGCCTCGAGCTTGCACTTCAGATCAAAGCAGATGAAGTGGCTGAGCTTAAAGCGAAGCTTGAGGCTGAAATAAAGGGACGGCTAGAAGAACAACATCACCATGAACAGGTCTGGGAAAAGAAATTATATGCACAGTTTGTTGAATATACCGGTATCCAGTATTTATATATATCTGCTGTAATTAAGTTTAAATTGGACATCAGAAGAAATTGCTGCTTGGTAAACAAAACATGGTGGCTCTATACCTTTCTCATTGTGTCATATTCACCATAAAAATAGGTAGTAGTGGTAGGAACAATCAGCATCCAGAGTGTTTCCATGACACACCTCTCCATGAGCCACTCTGGATTTACACATTTGAGCCCTTAGCCCTCTCCTATAGATAGCAAAATACACTCCAACATGGGGTTTTTGGAGAGGGGCAATGAAATTCAAATACAATACACAGAAGTACATGTATGTCTACTCTGGAAACAGGCAAAACAAAGTCCATTGTCAGAGAACAGAGTCCATTTTCTGTAAAGAAAAGAAAAAATGCTATCCGCTTCCTGTTTTTCCCCTTCTACATTCTCTTCTCTCATATAATATCCATCAGTGTGCTTTTCATTAAAGCATTTGCACATGCTATACATGAGCTTCCTCCATTCAGGCCGGTTGTCTACAGTTTTTCTCCAGTGGTATCAATGATGCTC